GTTTGAGGGGATGGTGGGGAGTCTCAAAGCAGGAGAGCAGCAAATCTGGGCTGGTCAGAGGCAGAGAACTGTGCAGAACCTCCCAGGAGGAGCTGCTGATTCAGCACCAGGGCAGTGACTGCAGCCCGTGGAGCTGCACTCGGGTTTCTAGGAATGGGATCTTCTCCCTGGACTGATTCCTGAAACAGGAAAAGATATCTCAGGGTTTGGGCGAGGAGAAGGGCACAAACACCCTGGGCTGGGCACAAAAACCCAGGGCAGAGGGTGAAAACAAACATTACCAAAGTCGTGTCGGGTTTTGCCCTCGGATCCGAAGCCGTGGGGGGGGAAGCGTTTGGTTCAGAGGGTGGAAACAAAAGCCACTGGAGGCTCCTGTGAAAACTTTTCCAAGCCAGGAATCCTTTTGTGAGAGCTCCAAACCCACCCCTTTTCCCTGGGCTGTCTCTGGGCAGGCCCCGGGTCGCTCCGAGGTTTCATAACAGAGTGGGGAGCGCTGGCTCTGCCCGGGGTTTGGTGGCCAGGGCTGGACAGGAGGCCTGGATGTGGCTCCTGGCAAGGAAGGGAGCAGGGCAGAGGGAAATGCAGCCCAGTGTGGAACAGTCTGACACGTTTTTAACTCGTTTTTACACTGATTTGTGTTGTGGTTTGCCGGGGATCATAAAACCATGGAATGGTTTGGGTGGGAAAGGACCTCAAGGGTTACCTCGTTCCACCCCCTGCCAGGGACACCTTCCACCAGCCCAGGTTGGTCCAGCCTGCCCTTGGACACCTCCAGGGATGGGGCAGCCACAGATGCTCTGGGAATTCCATCCCAGGAAGGAATTTCTCCTCAGTATCCCACCTAACCCTCCCTCTGGCAGTGGGAAGCCATTCCCTGCGTCCTGTCTCTCCTGTCCTGTCTCCCCTCTCCATCACCTCTGCTGTGTTTAACCCCAGCTCTCTCCTGCTCTCACAGAGGTGTCCCTGCTGTAGGTTCTCCTCTCCACGTGTCCCTCAGGGGGAATTCCAGAGCCTGCTTTAGCTATTAAGTGTTGTTTGCTCCCGATTTTCCTCCGGAGCCTGTTTTCCCCATCAGCTGCTCCACACGTCGGTGTTGGGAGAGGAAACCTTTCTGCTGCATCTGCATCATTGAAACAGTCCTGGTGTAACAAAACCTCTGCAGGGAAAGGAAACCACTCAGATCTCAAGGAGAAAGCTCCTGGCAGCCCTTTCTCCCCGACAAACCCGCAGTTTTGATCCTTTGTTCTTGAGTTTTCCAAAACTGAATTTTCCAAAAGCCGAGCTCTGCAGCCTCCCGAATTCCTCTCGGAGGCTTCGCTGCTTGCTCAGACTCGGTGCAAACCCTTTGAGCTGCTCTGTCAATAATTCTCTGCTCAAAACCAGCTCTGGGAGCGGAAAAGGGACTGGCTGGGGGTTGGTTTTGCTCTCAGACAGATCATGAAAATGCCATTGTGGTCTGCTAGACCTATCTGGAGATTAATACCCTCCAGGGACTGAATTATGCCTTATTTCTTGCTAGTTTGCTGCTTTTTTTCCCTCTTTCTTGGCAAATACAGGCAAAAAACATGACAAAGGAGTTGGATTCACTCAACAGAATCCTGGTTGGGGCAGGATTTCTTTTTTGTGCCTGTGTCAGCATCTCTGGGGGGAGGGAGATGCAATTCCAGGTTTGTCCCCCTTTTCCACCCCCAGGGAGGGGGATGAGTTTCTCCCAGCCCCTGTGATGGTCCAGCAGTGAGAACAGGGATGTTTAAGGGTGACTAACATGGGAATGATGATCCAGGGAAGCTCAGGCAGATGTTTAACAGCTGGAATTCTAATTCAAACAGAGAGAGCAAGTGCTGTCAGAGCAGCTTCCTCACCAAACCCAGGCACCTGGACACCATCCCTGGGGGTGAACTCACCCTCTGGCATTCCAGGGACAGGCTGTGGCCTCCAGCCTGTCTAAATCCAGGGAAAATGGAAGCGGCTGTGGAGTTAAAGCCACGTGTGGGTTTTAGCACGTTGTTGATGTCAGGTCTAGTCAGGGAAAATGTTCCTTTTCCGAGACTTCACCCGTCAGCAGGGCTGGTCCTGGTGGAACCACGGGGAGTGAACTCACTCAGGGGTGGATTCATCCCGTGGTCACTGATGGAAAACCCCCTCTCCCACTTTCTCAGCTGTCAGGGCACGTTTCCTCCTTGGTTCCTGCCTTTTCATGTGCTTTTCCAGCCCGATTTGAAGCTTTGGCTCTCTGGCCTTTTGGGTTAATCCTTTGATTAAAAACACCTTGAGATCTTCAGCGCTCAAAGCCGGTTCCAAGGGGATTTTATATAAATAGCTATTATATACATAAATATATAAATATATAAATATTTTTGTAAAACCAGGTGGTAAATAATACAAATAGTTTCTATGTCTCAATATTTTATATAAATAGCTATTATATACATAAATATATAAATATATAAATATTTTTGTAAAACCGGGTGGTAAATAATACAAATAGTTTCT